GTAGGATTTTCGTTCTTCACTAGAACAAAAAAAACAACAACATATTTTTGAAGAATATACACACATACACAGCTCAAATAAATAAAACACAAAAAAGGGAACACTTATTCATCACAATATAACACCAATTCAATTAAACCTCAGGGACTTTAATCCGTCCAATTTGGAGACATACGTGATTTTGAATCAGTTTAACCTGTTACTGCATTTGCAGAATTATCCATGTCTGGATTCATTGGTGGAATTTATTAAAGGGTAGATATATAACTGATTGCACTCTCATACTACTTCACTGTGAGCATTTCTTTTCAGGTTCTATTCCCCAAACGTTCCAGATGCATTAAAAGTTGTTTAATAGCCCAAATAAAAAGTTCCATATCGAGCAAACACACCAAACTAAGAGTAATGTGCCAATACATGCACGATAAGAGTTTGAAGTAACGTTACTTAAATTATTGTGTGACTCGTAAACATTCTGATTAATGCTTGAAGGCTGGAAGACTAGCAAGCGCTCCACGCGACGATTTAACGCATGCGTTTAGAAATTAATCTCACTAGATCTGTCATGACAAACACGTATGAGTATATTTACATTCTGAAACAAGACAAAGCAACAAGTACCTCATATTCCCATTTTATGAGATCCCAGAAGGAAGTTTACTTTCCCGCGCAGGCGCACTGAGCCTCTTATAGTGAACAGCTGTGAGTCGGTTCGTTGTAAAGAACCGGTTCAAAACGCGATTCAAAAGATCGATGGTGGAGAAATATATAGCTTTTATTTACTATTTCGACACGTTTTTTTAATTAATAATTGTGTTTATTGTCGGTTCACTGATTCAGAGAGTCAACGATGTCCGAATGATCCCCTTCTGTCCCTTTCGTGGCAAAGTTCAACCAGTTCACTAAAAAGATTCGACTCAAAAGAACGATTCGTTAACGTCGCTCATTTCTTTAAAGCGGAGAACAGTTTAATACTGGTAGATCCTTTGAGGTAGTTTTAATGTATCCCCATTTTATCCGCAACTTCACGATATTACAGAAACGCCCGCGTTCTGTCCTGTAGAGAGCGGTAGTGAGCCAGCGACCGAGCTGCATCACTGAAACGGCAACATTACGCTATACTGATCTGCGCATGCCCAGTAGCCGCAGCTGTATCCCTTCTAGCCTTATCCGTTTTCGTTACTGATTAACGTTACACCTCGAGTCGTTTTGTGTCATGTAATAAGCGTCTCCAGAGGAGCTCTTGAGCTGCAGACTGCAATATGGTGACAGTTCCCAGCAGCTGTCCTACTGTACCGCTGTCCAATGGACGCAACATTCCCATTCTGGGTTTAGGTGAGAACAAGCTCATTCCTGACATTCGCATGCAACAACTAAGTGTTTCTACTTATTGCTTGTCACGGCAGTGTTTGGTAATATTCCCATGCTTCTAGGTTTTTGTTAGTGACGCCGAAATTGGTAACATACAAGCATTACTGTTCAATTTTAGCAGTGTTAAATCTCTTTGTTGTCACTACAGTTATACACTGTGTAACAGTTACTGTCTTTTAATTGCTGTCCTCTCTTGTTCCACAGGAACATCTCATGTTGGAGGTTACAGTCATGAAGCAGTGCACTGTGCTCTACAGGAGTGTGGCATAAGGCATATAGACACAGCCAAGCGTTATGGTTGTGAAGAGGCTTTGGGGAAAGCTGTGGTTGATAGTGGAGTACCACGAGAGGAGCTCTGGCTCACCACCAAACTATGGCCTGGAGATTACGGCTACCAGAGCACCAAACAAGCCTGCCGGGACTCGTGTGCCAGGCTAGGGGTTGATTATTTAGGTAAATGCGTGACTTGTTAAGTCAAAGGTAGAGTTTTATGGCTCGAAACGTGCCAGATTTCTTTGTAAACAGTCCTTTTGAATCAACTTCTTTCCACAGACCTTTATCTGATGCACTGGCCGGACTGCATGGTTCCAGGCGTCTCCAGTCGTGAGGTCCGATCAGAGACGTGGAGAGCTCTGGAGGAGCTTTATGATGAAGGTTCATGCTCTTTTAGGTTCATTCTACAATTTA